CCCCAAAACCCCAAAACCCCAAAACCCCTTAATGCCATATAATTAAGTAATTGAGAATTTATTTGTAATATATAATAAATGAATTAAGAGGCATTGTATTAAATTGCAGGTCCAAGAACTCAGACTGAGATCTTCCTTGACAACATACCCTATACCGACAATGTGGTTTACGAATCTAGAAGTTCCCCATAACAACTTTAATCTGACAAATCCGAAGAATGGACACAAGTATTTGACTTGGATGACGCAGCTTTAATTGTGTAAGTACCGGAATTAATTTAACTTAGATCACTCAGTCAAAGTCTCCATATTTTACAATTAAGGGTTTTCCTTATCATAATAACTCTATTTATATAGATGGGTTGAGAACGATCTATTACTAATGAAGCTACTACATTTCACAGACTAGCCCTTGAAGTAATACTACGGATTAATCTAAAGGAATGTTCTTTCTATGCCTACAGAAATGAGTACTGGGAACTTTGGCTTTCTAAAAACTGAGAACGATGAAAAGAATCAACTAAAGTAGATATTTGAGAAGTACTCTACCGCCAAATTAAGAGTTGATGGAAGAATAGTACAAAACTTAGCTTTAACCGACAGCGTCAAGCTAAATTCATCTTATAGAAGAGTAGGAGGAGAGATAGATTTGCAACGAAAGACTCTAAGCTTCGTGACAACTTCAAATGTGCTATATTAAGTTGATTTCGATAGATACTATCTTAAGAATAAGGAGAGTTTATATGTAAAGGTAATGGAATTAACAGAGATTACTGGCCAAGTGAGAGCTTTCGATGTCTGCTATGACTACACCAACAATCAAAGCGTACTTGCAGTTGGTTCTTCAATAATAGTCAAAGACTTTGATAAAAATGACTCTATTAAGGATGCTCAAGAGTTAGCTCTTACATTCGTAAAAGCAGATCCAACAAATGTGAATGATCTTGTATATCACTAAGTTAGACATGAAGATTTATTCAGTACTTCCTCATCTTATCTAGGATTTGTTAAAGTCTTAAAGAAGGGTATCAGTAACATTGTAAATAGGACCTAATAATAATTTATTGGTTCAAATAAAAGAGTCCTAACCACAGTTATACGTTAAACTGGTAGAGTTGGCTTTGAAGAGGGCATAGTTTCTATTAAATCATTAACCAATTGTCTAATAGCTGTTGTCTACACGTCAGGTATTCTTAAAATTTGGTCTGTTGTGACTGGCTAATGCCTATCTTATTATGATCTTTTTGAATAAGGAGAAGATGAGATGAATAAATCAAAACAGAATAAAAGAGTCATCAATGCTAAAATGCAATCACTGACCTATAGAATGCACATTGAAACTCAATCTAAATCTCTTAAACTTGTGATTGCTTATGAGGAGACCTCCATGCTTGATTACAACTGTCATTGGATTGTCGATTAGTTCAATCTAAACTTCTAGAACCTGTCAGCTGACTAATTCGATAGGACTAATGAAGATTTCCTTGATTTGAGCAATCAGGATTTAGAGATGATTCATCATTTTTAGACATTCATTGATGAAGAAGCTAAGGTTAAGGATATTATTCTGGAGTCTAGCAATAGAACAAGTCATTTGTGGCTAGTAACTCATTCATAAACAGAGGGCTCTAAGATTACTGATATGCTTGAACCAGTTGAACAAGTATGGTCAAGAAATCTATAGTAGCAATATTATCAACTATTTGATGAAATGGATTTACCTCATGAACTCAAGATAAATAACGATTCACCTTACAAAAAATAAATCTAGGAGCACTACCACAAAAGATTATCCCTTCCAGGAAGGTTTTCGGATATGTCGTTCAGAAATGTATTCGAATAAAAGGGCATCTCAGCTGATTATCTCAAAAGAACTCCAGTTCTTACCATTCTTGAAAACGTATGCAGTAGGTATAATTACCTAGAACTGGAAGGAATAAGGCAGAGTTTAATCAAAATTGAATAGTACAATTCACAAATATATGGGATTTCACCATAGTTCAGAGATTTACCGTTTAGATTAGTACTTAGGCCTATAGGTATATCACTGCTTAAAACTGATTCTCTTTATGCTAGTCTTGTTTAAAGATCTAATGCATTAACTGGAGAGATAGCCAAAGTCTTAACTTATGAGAACTCCTATCAATCATCAACCTAACCATCAAAATTTGATAATAATATATCAGGAAAAGATCCGTTATCACTACTTGAACTAGTAACCACTCATTAAGATAATCCCATTCTCTTATTAATATCAGCAATGCAACTTTTGCACCTATAATCACTTCCAGCTATCGATTAGTTCATTATGGAGGGAAATAACTAACTTGACTTGCAAGATTTGATTATCTAGGTTTTTAGAGAGAGCTGCCAGTATGAAGCCTTGAACAATGAGATTTTGAGAGTTATTAACAGCTAAAGAATGACTATAGAATAAAATCTCAATCAGCTTATTGATTAATTGGTTCTATAGCTATTAGAGTAGAATGCCTCAGATGGGAGATCGACTAATAAAATGAGAGGATATGATCCAATTGATGAGAATAATTATCATCTCAATGTATTAAAGATAATTGAGCGTGGAGTCTAGTCTGAGCTTTAAGCTCTTTAACAACTGATTAGAGATCTTTTTATTCTCAAGATATTCATTCAGGAGACTAAAGCTATACTTAATATGAATGGCAATGTGATAGAGAGTGACAACAAAAGACTGGAATCCCTAAGCTTTTGGCTGACCTAAATTACTAGTCTTAATTAAATACTTGCATAGACTATTGAGTATAAGATCATGAAATAGAATAGCTTCTCAAAGATGAGTGTGCTTGATAGAATCTTAGCTACTGGTGTGATTTAAAACAGCTAGCAAGTTCCTATCTCCCTTATATTGTTACTCTCAATTCCAGATACATACCTTCACAGTCCATTGTCAAATACATTCAATCAGTTTGATATTTCTATTAAGCAATACGGAGCAGATGGAACTCAGTAGCATGCAATAGTTGAACATAGAATGGCCATGTTTGCTAATATCTTGGTTAGATTTTTGTAGAAGTACTCTTTCAAAGAAAACATTTCAGATGAGACCTATGTTCCCTCAATCGTCAGAAAGCTTTATCTTCTTAGATAATACAACTTGATTTCTAAGTATTTGGCACCGTTAAATGAATTTAGTACTATAGCTTTGGAATTTTTAAGAGCTCTATTAGCTGCTAACACGAATTAACCTTCATAATACTTGGAGCATATGTACATTTGCCTCGCAAGATTCCATTAAAGTTTGGCAAATAATGTTTAGCTAAAAGTATTCAGTCTAGTGCTGAACAAAAGAGAAATTGTAGAGGTTAGAAATAACATGAATGCAGCTAACTAGAATAATATCGTTGTGTAGTTCTATCTGGCTCTGATCTTTCAATTAAAAAATCTAGATGAAAAATACTCTTTATTCTTGATAAGTTCTGCCTTGTTGGAGGATTAAATTATATAACTGAGCTTTGAGGATTCATAAGTTAATATGAGTGAAAAGGATTACTTCTATGATTTGATGTACAAAACTGCCAGTATCTAAAGATCAGCTGATTACCTTTATCAAGCTTGCACATAAATTTAAAATCTACAAAGAAAGAGAGTGATACTTGGATCATTCATTGAGGTGGCAATATAATCACCAAATAGTCAATACCTCCTTTGTACCTAGTACTATTTCACATAAGATGAGATAGATATGGCTTTTGACTATTTGATGAGTAGAGCAAATAGTTATCTGACGACTGACACTAGAGGACAACTTACAGTGACCTATATGGATGCTAAAAGAAATATCATGAATTTAATAAGAGCTCTTAACATTATCACCTAAATCTACGATAGGCACATTGAGTTTTCTAGATATCTATGGTCCTTAAGCTAAAGTATAGATGTAGTTATCAGCAGTATTAGCTGTGACTTCGCAACAGACTACATTGAACTTTTAGAATTAAACTGGACAATTCTAGCCATTATTTATCAGAATGCTAAATACTGTGGAGAGCATTTCTTTATCACCAAAGAAGAAGGAATAATAGAAGGCAAAAGTAAATATTTTAATTCTCATTATTATTAATTTAGACTCAGTTAGTAACTCAATTGCTTCTTCAAACAGACAATCATCTGCTTTATATTAACAGGATGATGGGCATAAAATTGATCTAGGAAACTAGTATTAAGAATGTGATGACTTGATCAAAGATTATGGTCACAGTGTCCTCTATGTCCTTGACTAGCAACGTAAAAAGTTCAGAAGTGGAAACATGACTCTTTTGAAAAAGCAAGACCTACTCAATTAAATGATTCTAATAGAAGTCAAAATCAAATGTGGATAGCTTGATTGTCTCGACACTTCAGACCTAGAACTGCTTTACGAATACTTGATTGAAAAAAATGAATATCATCTTGCCACTAAATTTGCTTTGGCTTTTAAACTTAGTGCTTGCTTACCAATAGCTCTAATAATAAGGGATGTAAGCATAGAAAAAGTACAGTAATCACCATTGCAGTGGAATGAATGTATAGAAAACGATCAGCCTGTTATTACAGCAAAATAATTGCCCCGAGAGGACGGATAATTTGTTGATCTTTTCGAGATTCAAGTCTAAACAGCTAGATACGCACTCACAATCCACCAGCTCATTGAAGTAGCTTAAAATTTAAAAAGACTTGATCATAGAATACCTCACTGCATTTAGGACCTAATAGTTGATTAAGGACTGATTATTGTGCTAGTAAAGCTCTATCTAGCAAAGATAAAAGAAGACGACGTCTAGCATGTCTTTACTGTTATGAGAAAATATCACGAGAGAGCGATAACAGATCTTACAAGCTGCGATATTAACTTCCTCGCAATGATCATTTAGAATACTAATGAAGCTCTTGATGCAAACGTTTAACATTTGGCATATCTTGAGTAAAACAAAGCAAGTCTATAAGTTCACATAGATCAATAAAGAAAAAATGAGCCTCAAAGAATAAGAATATCTAATAAAAAGATGCTCGAAGATTTAGAAAGATTCATAAACGTTAGATAAGTACATCAAAACAGAATAAAGCATAAGTTGCAAAAAACTGAATTGGTCAAGGAATAATTAGACTTAGAGAAGGAAATTTAGGAAACTTAGCAAATCATAAATCACTGCTCAATGCTCTTAGTCGAATTCAAAACAATTCTTGATTTGACTCTTAAAAAGCTATGAGAAATTTTAAAGAACCTCAATTAATTTCTTAAACTCATATGATAAAGGATTATCTTTGATTTATAATTAATTCAATCTCGATTTTCTGTCATATTCTCTGTGGGGTTTTGGGGTTTTGGGGAGATCGGAAGAGCGTCG